GAAAGAGTGCAAGCAAAACTCTGTGGCATTTCTTGTTTAATATGTTGTTTGTTTTTTTTTTTAAACTTCTGTGGCACAGGTTTCAGCAGAGGAGATTAAAGATACCAGGGTTGTGTACTTGGAAATTGAAGCCCGAAATTTGGACAAAAAGGTCTTGATTTTTTTTTAAATTATATTGCATTCTTCTGCCATATTTACAGTTAGTGCCTTTTGACCAGGAATCTCTCTGTATTTGTAGACGTTCAGCTAAGCTAGGTAATCCACGTATGAAAAAAGGCTCGCTGTATTTTGTCACTTACAGTGAAGTAAAATGGAGGCATAATTTCATGTTGAAAACCGCGGTGTCAAACCAGAAACTTCAACTGCCAGGTGTAGGGGGGATTATTTTGTCTTTGGAATAGCCTGTATGTTAATACAGTTCAATTACATAATTGTCTCCGATGAATGTTGTAGCTGTGAACTGAGCTTTCCGTAATGTTTTTAAGGAAGAAAAGGTGGAAATTTAGGTGTGCTGCCTCAATGTTATTTTAAGCCGAAAAAACAATCCAGGGATTTAGTGGCCTCACTGCTCAGTCAGCAAAATGATGTGATTTATAGTGACAAAACTGGTCTGAGGAGGCGGTTTTGGAATCAGAGCTGGTAAATTCTGATGACTTAGAAAGTGCAGCATTTTAAAAGAGAAGAGTGAAATGAGAGGAAAACGAATGTATAGTTTGTTTGACTTTGTGCTTTGTTTGAATTGGCTGATTAGCCAGCCCTTCCCTCATCCGAGTAAAAGACAGGAAGCTGATTACTTCTGTTGGGCTTTTGTTTACAGGATTTCTTAGGTAAATCAGACCCGTTTTTGGAGTTTTACAGGCAGAGCGATGCTGGAACGTGGCAGCTGGTGTACAGATCAGAGGTAGTATTGCTACGCTGATGATTTTCTTGAGTTGATCAGACGGCTTGCCCCTAGCAAAAGTGGGAGTCCCGCTGCTGATCCTGCTTTGCACCAGTTCTGCAATGAAAGTTGTCCTGTATCCTAAAAAGGGGATTCTGCTCACTGGCATGGCAGCAGCTGGTTTATTTGCTGCCTGGTGACTGGATTAAGCTGGCTCGGTGAAGAGTCCAGCCATGCATCAAGTGAGAAGAGTGGCTGGACTCTCCTCCCTTTCAGTGATGATGAGCTGTTAGGTTCACTTGGCTCTAAAATTTAACTTCACCCTGAACTTCAGGCTTTTGTTTCTTACAGAGCTTCTGCTTGGCTGTCCATGCATGTCGGGCTTGAACTTACTGAGGCTGTTCTTAGACAGCAGTGCAGAACCCTCGTGTTAGGTTTGTTAGTGACTTGCACGCTGCATCCTTCGCGTGACATTATGCTGTAATTTTTTTAAGGTGATTAAGAACAACTTGAATCCATGCTGGAGCAAGTTCAGTGTTCCCTTGCAGACATTCTGTGGTGGAGATTTCAATAAACCTATCAAGGTACAGCCTTCAGCAATTCTCTTTGTTTGTTATAAGCCATGGAATTTATGTTGATGTTAACGATCAGGTTGTTGAATCATATATAAATTTTTAGATTGCTTTTCTAGAACAGTAGTGTGGCAGATAAGTGATTATATGTCTATTAAGTATGAAGTCTGTATTCAAACATTATGAGTTGTCAGATTAAGAAGTTGGGAAATGCAGAAGTGACACATTCTCTAATGATTAGTCATAAGAAGAATTATAACTGATTTTTTCACTATTCTGGCCAGGTTTCAGGTTGGGGTTTGGTGGGGTTTGTTTGTTTGTTTGTTTGTTGTTGTGGGGGGTCTTTTGTTCTGTGTGGTGTTTTGATGTTTTCTTTTTTTTTTTTAAATTGTGGCTTTCTAGCACTGTTTCTAAGTTAAGTGAGAAGTTTATATATGTTGGACAAGCCTGAGTGCCTTAGCATACTGATATAGAGGACCTTAATGCATCTGTCAGATTCATCTGATCATGAGATTGGCAGGCTTGTCCTCACTCTTTTTCTGTCTGTTCAGATAGAAATTTGGTTTTCAGTCAGAACTGTAGTTCCTTGTGGTCTTGTATATGATGACTAATTCTCTCTGGTCCTGGCTTATGGAGGCGGTAGAAGAACAATTACATCTTTTAATAAGTTCCTACAAAAGAAAATCTGATAGCAAATTGATTTGTTAATACCCGTTCCAAGCAGTGCGTTGATAATGTAAGGGCATTTAGATCCGTAGATAGTTCTGTGTGGGTACAGTCTCTCTGCTTATTCAACTCCAGAACACTTTCCATTTGCAGTGTTTTCCTGCCTCATCCTGTCTGTGAAGAAATCTCGTGCTGGAAGTTTGATCTGAAAGGTTTAGCAAAAAGTGTGCATGCTAATATTTTTATTTGTGCAGCATGGCAAGTCCAAAGAATTACTGAGATTGTTAACCTGGAAATCGATGTTCGGGCGTGCTGGGCTTGCTGGTGTGCGGCTGTGTTCGAAGTGGCGTTCGTGAGCTGCTGTTGCTGGGGAGTCAGCAGTCTCGGGTCAGAAGGAAGTGCTCTTGGTCCAGCAGCGAGCAGCGAACGTGGAAAGGAGGTGGCGGAGAGATGCGTGTTGTCATTTGTCAGAACTGACGCGCGAAGGCGTGCTCTGCGTGTTCTATTGCAGGAGGCTGTGTTTGCTACGCTTCAAAAAGGTGTGTTTGGGATTTGGTTTGTTTCATTTTGGTTTGGGTTTTTTGTTTCCTTTGATTTGTTTGGGGTTTTTGTTTTGTTATGGGTTTTTTTTGTTTTGTTTGATTTCCAGAAGCTTTCTGTGCTTTGGAATTCACTTTGGAATGACCTTGAGAAGGACAGATTTTTTGCTGTTAGTTCATTTCACCCAAAATTCTCAATGCGTGTGCAAATAATCTATGAAGTTTCACAACAGAGCCGTGAGACAGGATTGTACTGTCCTTGTATTTACAGGTTAGGGAAGTCAGCCAGAAAGGGGAGTCTAGGCTGCCAGGCAGACGTTTCACTAGCAGCACTAAAGAATATGGTATTGCCCTGGTGTTTCGTTTTTCATCTGATATTTGCTGCTCAGAACCTCTTGTGTGAGGCTTCAAACAACGTACGTCGGAACAGTTACGCGTGAAATGATGGTAGCCACTGAAGGGAGAGCTGCTTGTCCTTCAGCACGGTGGAGACGGCCCTTTCGGTGCGTCCCCTGGATGTCGGCTTTGCCAGCTGTGTGGGAGGATTGTGTGCTGAACTTGGGCGTGAACATAAACCTTTTGGTCAAATTAGTGATGCTGCCTAATATTTTAGTAATTCTTTCTTGGTCGTGATGCAGAGTGATATTCTCCTTGTTCTGTGTTAAAAACAGCTCAGATTTGTGACACAGCCTAATCTTTTTGACAGTTTCGTTAAAAATAGGGGCAAGTGAAAGTACCGTCTCTCCCCCATAGTGATTTAAATGGAAATAGCGAATGCAAAGTTTGTGGGTGTTGGTATTGGGACTGAAGCTGCCGGTCCACATGTTTGATGGCATATATATAAAGGCAAACCCATTTTCTGTGAATTTTGAAATTTCCTCTGGTAGATTAAAGGGGCCTTTTACCCGCTGATTGTATTCCAAGGCTCGTCTTCATTTGCAAAGAAACAGTTAATCAGTAAAGAACTATATACAGTGTCCTGCAGTACTGCTGGCAGGATTTTGTTTGCAGCAGCACTGCTCTTTGGGCTGCATACAGTGAATCTTGGCTAGCTTTAGAAAACCCTTGCAAAAAGAGGTTTGTTTTAATCTGTATTGTGCTGTGTGAACTCGTAGTGAAACTGGTCCTAGACACAGTTCTGTTGGCGTGGCTGAGCGGGGGACGCGGAGCGAGGAGGAGAGGACAGGAGTCAGGTGGAGGCGGCAGCGCTGGGCTCTGCGCAGCTCTCCAGGCGCGTTGGTGGGAAGCAGACCCTGCGCTGGGAATCCGCACCCTGGCCTCTGCACCAGAGCCTCCTTCCTCGGCCTCCGTGGCGTGACCCAGGGGCTTTGGGGTGGTGTTTGAATGTTGGGATTGCTGAGAGAGGCAGGGGGGGGGGGGG